TAATACTACGATTATGACCCACTTCCCTCGTGACTTATATGGAATTTTCAACTGTAATAGGAATAGGGGTTTTAGCTCACCAAAATAGGTAGGGTACATAAACAACTTTTAAGATGATTTTGATAGCAAGGAGAATAGGAAATAAAAGAGCGATCGTTGACTTTTCAACATGATAGGTAGGAACTCTTCTGAAGTTTATTTGATATCTTAGTTATGAGCCACGTTCAGTCGTGCTTTCCCCCTCCCTTATACCGACTATACCTTCATCTCTCCAAAACCATATTGAAATCCGAAATTAATTTAATGATTAACGGGTAGGGACTCTTCCTCTTCCGACAGGGATATATGGAATTTTCAACTGTAATAGGAAGGGGTTTAAGCTCACCAAAATAGGTAGACTATGTCCAAATGTTTTAAGATTGTGTTGATCTCTTGATCGCAATAAGAATAGAAAATAAAAAAATGGCGAATAGTGAGTTCTCTCAACATGTTAGGTGGAACTCTTCTGAATTTTATATGCTTTTATGGTTGCAAACTACTCTCCTTTGTGTTTTACCCTCTCATATACCGACTATCCCTCCATCATCCAAAACCCAAAATGAAAACTCTTTTGATGAATTATTACCCCCTTTCCCTCGTGACATACGACATGGATATATGGAATTTTCAACTGTAATAGGTAGGGGTTTTACCTCAACAAAATACGTAGGTTCCGTACAAATGTTTTAAGATGGGTTTGATCTCTTGATCGCAATGAGAACAGGAAATAATAGAGCGAATAGTGACTTTTTACAAGATAGGTAGAAACTCTTCTGAATTGTATATTATATCTCAGTTGTGAACCACTTTTACTCTAGATATCCCTTCTTTTATTCCGACTATACCTCCATCTCTCCAAAACCCTATTGAATACCGGAATTAATTTACTGAATAACGCATAGGGACTCTTATGATACATGTAAAATACTACGATAATGACCCACTTCCCTCATGACTTACGACTTGAATATATGGAATTTTCAACTGAAATAGGTAGGGGTTTTAGCTCAACAAAATAGGTAGGTTGCGAACAAATGTTTTAAGATGGTCTTGATCTCTTAATATCAATGAGAATGGGAAATAAAAGTGCGAATAGCGACTTCTCAGCATGTTAGGTCGGGACTCTTCTGATATTTATATGACTTAATAGTTATGAACCGCTTTCCCTCGAGACCGTCTCCCTTATATATCAACTGTGCCTCTTTCTCCCCTAGAGTGATATGAAACCCGGAATTAGGTTACTGATGGACGGGTAGGGACTTTTATGTTATCTTATATGTAATATTGACCCACTTCCCCTCGTGACATAAGACAAGGAGACAATGGATCATCAGGTAGGGTGCGTAGACATTTTTTAAAACATGGTTTTGAGCTCTTAACGATGAAATCCGGACTCACATTATGGATAGCGATGTCTCGCCCATTGAACACCAATAATAGTGATAGGTACAAGTGTTTGGATATGGCTCAACATGTTCCTTATAATATGCAGACGATACCATACACTATACCTTAATTTTCTTATAATCTGTCATTTTTCCTTGATGTGAATGAAAACTTCTCTAAAATCTACCACAAATGAATGACGAAATTATTTCAAACATAGGAGGCTGGGCTCAAGGTGACATTCATGTGAGTTGTGTTTAAGTGAAAACTTTCAAGTATCAATAATATAAATACATATTAAAAATTCTCTGCAAAGTTCCCATTTTAAATTAACAAATTAAGAGTGTCAACCTTCTCAAGCAACGACTAAGAACGACTTTATAACATGGACCACAAATCAAAAATGCATTCTCCAAGGAATATGGATAGGAAATATACAAAAAGATTATAAATATAAAATATGTACATGAGCAAAACTATTGCCTCATATCGGAAATAGAAAACCAATTCAGTTCCAGTTTCAAATGGATAAAATGATTAAAAGAAATTTTATTATACAGGGCACATAATGTGAAGATGTCTTTTTTCATGCACAATGAAATAACAAACATCAACAAATAACAAAATCCCATTCAGATTTACAGATTTAAATTTTATGTATTTGCGCAGTTAAGTAACAATTTTACGCACGTGCTCTATACTTTAGGAAATGTACATATTTACATATTTGTTACATTTTATGTAGGACCTGAAGAGTGGAACCCCACTATCGGGATAAAAACGGACTCACTGCTATTTATTTATCCCTATTAGTTCAATATCTACGGTCAAAAATCCAAGAATCAAATACTCGCATCTAACGTATATGTTTGCAATTATAATCGTACCTAAGAGCAAGTAAAACATTACAATACGTAACTTTAACACCACTAATTGCACAACGCATACTGTACACTCTTTATGAATGGCATAAATCTTCTGCTGACAAAAGGGAAAACTGAACATCTCGGATAGTGACGAAAAGTGGCAGTAAAAACGGCAATAATAAACGCTAGTTTTTTTTAACACAAGCATCTTAGTTTTATAGTATTTCAACCTGAACACGCTTAAATAATACTGATCTATTTAGAACCACTACTACTTTTTTTTTAAACGAATCTTTTTTTTTAGTTGTCATTCTAATACCGAAAAGTTAGCTCGTGTCTTCTCCTCTCTTTATGTAATAGGTATAATTTATAGGACATAATTTGATAAATATTTGATAATCTACTACCAACAAATTCTTATCTGCTAGTTACAAATGATATTTAATACCTACAATATGTATTGGTTGACCAAATTAGTTACACACGAAACTTAAACATAACATTATTAATGGATTTATTGACTGTCAGTTACTCACTGTATGATTTCTGAAAATTATTTGTTTGAAATGCATTTAATTGGTATGCAATAGACCTTGGCTGTACTCCGAATTTGTCATTTGTCTTTTCCACAAGACTTTTTCAACAAACAAGTCCAAACAGCTAAGATTATGAAATCTTAGAGCTTGCTTCTAATGACCCAATATACATCCGACAATATATTCTCAAATGGTAAATTAAATCCTGACAAGACAAGTCCAATTTAAAAAATGTATCACCTCCGCTCACCAAACTATGACTTGATACAACTGATAATATAAAATTCTTTGGAATTACGTACTTCTCTAAGACGTTCAAACGAGTAAAATTTTACATGTGACGAGGCATTTGAAAAAAGCTTTCCGGGTGATTGCCATTTCAGTAAATGAATATAAATTAATGAATGTCGTCCATGACGATTTTGAAAGCATAACTACTTGGGCATCGATATTATTTTATGAATAATTAACAAGACAATACAAATTACTCGGGGATCTGGAAATATCTACATTTATAAATGGAAACGTACGTTTGTTTAGAAATTAGGAATGTATCTGATCATTATGTTTTATTGAGTATGAAGCTAGCTTACACTAAAAGCGTTAATCTTCTTCGCCTATTACTTGGGGTTTCTTGAACGTCGTGTTGTATCTTTTCTCTAAGCTATGTACGTGTATACTTTTCTCAAGCTATCCTTTTCCCAAACCTACGTGAATACCTTTATTCCACTATTGCTTTACCATTATCCTATTGACAATCTCTTCTGATTTCATTGTCTGTGTATTAACTTAAAT